TTGTAAATATTCTACTAAAATAAGTATTTTGGTTTCACTAAATTTCTGAAGCAAGACGTGACTTCTGAATTTAATATACGAAACACTTTTAACTTATGCTCTGTGAGCGAAAGGCTGATCTGTAGTTGGCACCTCATGCTATATGTCTCTTGAGGTTTTTGTGATTTCATCTCATGCTACTTCCAAAGAGCCAAGGTGATTTTTTGAATCCTTAATGATAGACTGCTTCAGTCCATGGCAGGACGGCACTATAGGCTTTAAATAAAATGTCTGTGAAGCTCATTTAAATGCTCAATTATCAAGGTTCTGCTTTACCTTGAACGTTCCTAGTTAAAGGAAGTTGAAAGATCTTGTATCATTTTCATTCATATACAGTTGAAAGGGCTTTTATCTTTTCTATTTGTATACGTTGATAAGGAACTGTGAATTGCTACATGCTTATGAATGTGATGATAAAAATGAACAATGCTACAACATTAGATAAAACAAGAGAATAATTTTGGACATGAGAGGAGATGAGAAGAAGTTAAAATGTTCCCTCTTGTTTGATTTCCAAATGAACTCAGAAGCAAAATAAAATTGGACCATGATTTTCCTCTCAGACCATAAATATTTGGAATTAAAAGGTTAAAATATTAGAGAGAGATTCAATTTGTTTCTACTTTCTTTCAATAACAGCCGAGGAAAATTTGCCCATTCATTTTCCAATTAATTTTCTGTTCCTCCACTTTCTCTTCCCCTTCACTTCTTATCTCTACAAACTAATAACATATTGTTGGGTTTACAGAGAATTACCAATTTATTGGGTTTTACAGAGAATAGGCTAAATCAGTAGGTCCCAGATAAATGTACTTTGCAATGATTATATCGAACAGATTCCGTAGATATAGGCTAAATCATTAGGCCCCAGATAACTCAGGATTTTGTTGGTTTTTACAGAGAATTACCAATTTTTTGAGAAAAATGAGTCAATGTCATTTTGTTGACTTGGTTTCTGATTGAAAGTTTCACACCTTGATCTATATTTTTTTACTGCACCAACATTAAATCAGACAGCCTAAGAATTTTCATAGAATTTGATGAAACGGTTGTTTTCATCTTAGTCCATTCTTGTCATATATCATCTAGCTGTCTGATCTCTACAATTAGTTTCCAAACTGTTGCAATTTGTGAATGTGTTGAGGGTTTATGGTTATAAGTTCATATTAGCTTTACAAATATTGCACGTGTAGATGGAATTTTCTGCTTTCGCCTTCACTTATCTTAAGCAATGGCAAGACTTAACCTAAAAGATAAATAATTTCGGGGATATGCTAGACTTTTAGTTTCATTCTCAATCATATATTATATTGGTAACAAAGAGCATAGGCTGTACCCATCTAAATGTGCTTCTCACCACAGAAATTTGTTTATCAATTAATTTATGCTTCATATATAATTTGTAATCGTGAACAAGAAAACATGTGTGTGCGTGCATATGCACAACTTCTACTTAGCTATGCATTTAGGTAATATCATGCTAACAAAAGTTAGAAGAGATGGTGTCTGGCATATCACCTAACACCATGTCATCCAACATCACCAAAAAAAATGAGTTTTCATCATTCTACGAAGATTATTAGGTAGTTTACTTTCCTTTTATCCTGATAACTTTTAGCATACTCAATGAACACTGCATATACTTTCTTTTTTGTTCGTGCAAACCCTTCTGCAAACATTTTCAATGCACTCAATATCCAATTTCTTCTGTCATTCTCAAGATGAACTATTGACGAGCACAACACATTTAAGATCTTGTTTTTCTTTTCATGTTAGTTTTATAGAAAGGAACTTTTGTAGCGAATGGCCTTAATTCATTGATCCATTTGATTGACTGCTGTTTAAAAATATTATTTCTGACCAAATTCTATCTTAGAATATAATGGAGGTGGTTTTGTCCGAGCATGATTGGATTAGAGCCCTCCGAATGACTTCATACGGTTTCCTATTATATGGTCCTGGTTCATATGCATGGTATCAGTTCCTCGATCATTGCATGCCAAAGCAAACTGTTGAGAACTTATTGATGAAGGTAGGTTAACTCTGAGCTTTGAGCTTTGAATTTATTAAGTATCTTACAGATAACATTGAACAATTTTTTGGTTTTCCTGCTTGAAGGTTTTATTAAACCAAATTGCACTAGGTCCAACTGTAATTGCTGTTGTTTTTGCATGGAACAATTTATGGCAAGGGAAACTTGCAGAGCTTCCCAATAAATACAAAAAAGATGCCCTCCCTACCCTATTGTTTGGTAAAATCCTTGTATTTACTTCCGTTCTGCATATACGTTTTACAGAAGTGTAATTGTTTTTGTTTTTAATTCTCATATCTATGCAGGATTTCGGTTCTGGATTCCCGTGAGCATATTGAATTTTTGGTATGTCACACTCTGTCCTCATTCCTCCCTGTCTTCTCTTCCCCGGCCCCTTCCCTCTTTCCTCTCTTCTAGCATTATCAGAACCCTCATCCCAACCACACTGAAGGGAGAAAAGAGATTTTAAGTATTTGTTCAAGAAGCACAAGTAAAATAATCTTGAAGCTTATCAATGTTTAGTAATCTAGCATTAACTTTCTGAAGCACAGTATATTCATTGTCCAGGGATGGTTCTTAGGACCTTGAATACTAAGTCTCCTATAATCTAGCAAGTGTTATGACAAACCACACTGCTCGAGATAAACAGAGAAGAATTGACAAAGAACAGACCATCAAAGCTTAGACAAAATGTCATTTGGTTTAAATGAGCCTTTGACCACGGATGAAGACAATAAATCCGCCAAAAACATGAGATTGCAAGGATTCTCATGCTCTCATACCGAAGTTCTCTCTACTTGTTAGTTCAAGTAATAAGATCACTCATAATCAACCTGAAATACAATCCCTGCCACCTTGTTGGATCAATCCCGAGCGTTGTCCCTGCACCGCTATGGAGCTTCATTCATTCACCCCATGTCAGAAACTGGAGCTCTTCACTAATTAAAAGTCGTACTAAACTTAAACCAGGTTGGGCAGTATTCTGGCTCAACTACAAGACATTTTACAGTTAATATCTACCGCATCAAAAAAAAACTTTAGAATTTAATTAGTAATAATAAGATAAGATTTTTAGCCCCTGTTTGAGTCACATTATTTTTTCCATTCTCATTTTTTTACTCATTTTCAACCACACATTCTTCAATAAAATAATAGTTTCCATCACATCAATAACTTTTCCTTCTTTTTCAATCACATATTCCCCATCACATAAAAAATGGGGAGTGTTGTAAAATATTGAGATAATTATTGATGATTATTTAGGCCCTGTTTGAGAGGGATTAGATTTTTCTACAGTAAATCGATTTTCAACCACACATTCTTCAATAAAATAATAGTTTCCATCACATCAATAATTTTTCCTTCTTTTTCAATCACATATTCCCCATCACATAAAAAAAAAAAAAATGCATTCTTGGCTACAAAATGTGCACCAAACAGGGTGTTAGTATTTTTAGCAAACGAATTCACATTATGAGATCACGTTGCTTATGTGCTCTTTTCCTGTTGTGTGCTTTGCTGATGAAACTGACCTTTTGAAGTGTCCTATAATTATCTTGTCCATTTTATTTCACTCCTCTTGTTTTCTCTAAGCTTTGTTGTTTCCTATGTATTTTTATTACCATCATATTATTAGCCAATTCTTTTTTACGTCTGAGATTTACAAATACTGTTTCAAGCACATTTAGGAAAATCTTCGTATTTTTCCCGAGGGAAAAGATTGCAAGTACTTTCAGTTGCTTGAAAACAAACATATGTATTGCTTTTTCACCTAGGGTTTCCAAGTTTGTTCGAGGGCAATGCATCTCAGGAACTTCTATAGTCGGTCGCTTCTAGGAGCCTCATAGTTCTTTATTTTTATGGACTTTATATCTCAAATTATCGACAAGGAAATATATATGCTTTCTTTCTTGCTACGTTACATGCATTCTTTTTCACCAACTTGAAACTAGCAATAATAAAAAGATGTCACCTTTCATGTTTTCCTTTGGTTTATCAGTTATACTAGGAAATAGAAACTCTTTTGGAATGACATTCTATATTGATCTTCAGGATTGTCCCCCTTCAAGCCCGCGTTGCTTTCATGTCCACGGGCTCTATATTCTGGAACTTTATCTTGTCTTCGACTCTGAGCAAGTGAATGATGCAGAACTTATATCCATGGACGTCTATATGGCAGTTTGAGCATCAAGTATCAGTCGAAACATCATTTTACTATTCTTTTTCTAAGTATCAGTCGAAACATCATTTTACTACTCTTTTTCTTTCTGATGTCGATACTTTGGATGGACAGCTTTTATCAGGATAGCGCAGTCCTTGGAAGCAGTTTCTGAACATTCTTGAGATCATTACATGGCATTTTAGTACCCATCTGTAGATTGTCATTTACAAAAATACCAGCTCACTATTTGACCGCTGCTGCTGCACAACAGATTCAATCTTTTTCTTTCTTCCCCCAACCCAATTGAGAACCTTTATCATCACTTAAAGCCTGTACCTTCTTCAGAATTTCAAAGAACATTACTAAATTATTGATAATTTCAAACAATTCTTACATTTTTAGTGCAATGCGTACTGAAATATATAGAAGGATTGAAGTAGTATCCTTCAATATGTTATTAGATCCATGAGGATCCTATTGATCAAAATAACAAGTTATGGCTCTTAAGGCAGCTGTGTACACGCGAGGTGAAGTCTTGATCCCTTTTCTGATTTGACAAGGACGGACGGATTATTGCTTGAGGGAGAAATCGATGTATACTTTGTTCACAAGGGTAAGGACTATTGAGAAAGTATGTTAACTTTTTCAGATGGAATCCCGAGTTTGACCACAATAACTACTAAATATACATACTAAAAACTACCATATTCATATTATCTTGAAAAAATTTCCATTACCATGATCAAATTATTATGGTGACCACCAAAGTATACAAGTAGTTGTATAAAACATGTCATGCGACATGGATAATTCTTGTTGCAATCGACATGAAAAAAGGTGTAGGGTCGAATAATGGTAGAAACGAGATGTATTTGTTGTAAAATAAAATTGAGATGAAACAAAATTCTACGATTTCTTACACACAAACAGACAGATTCTTGATTTTGCGACTCGAATGGGCAATTTCATTAGCAACCTCTAAATTCAAAAATTGCACCATTAGTCTCCAAACTTGAATCTTCTTGTAGTTTCCTGCTCAACACTTACATGTGGAAATTCTTGCAACATGTACATCAAAATTTACATAATAAATTATATAATGTCCCATGACATTATACAATTTGTCAGTTTAAAACACGATCAACTTTTCCATCCATTTTTTTCCCTCTCCATCATATTATATAATTCATTATGTACATATTTTATGTACAAGTAACAAAATTCATATATGGGTATTGGGTAGGGCATGTTCAAAACCAGCTTAAATGTTTAATTGGCCAATGAACTTTACGCCTTGTCACACCATACCCATTGAACTCAACGAAGCTTCCCAATAGCCACTTAACCTTGTTGCACTAAACTAGCCATCAGATGGATTCCATCTATGGTTGTCTATGTGGAGGATGAAAATGTGGCGTTGCCATTAAAATTCTCAAGATGTTAAGAGACTTGCACACGTAGACGCCAAATCACCAAACAAACCCTTACCCATACGAAACTAAATAAAGATCTCTGCAAAGTAACGTAAAGATTAATGTGAAACTCAATCAGTTGGAAGCATCTGTCATTTCAATCTTATGAGATTGATCAGATTTTGGCAAACACCATGATGAACGGAGCCACTGTGAGGTCATTGAGCATATGACAAAGTAGCCAAAAGAAGAGGAAGGAAGCTAACAGAACGAGGATATTCAGCTGATGAACGAATGCCAGTAATGGCCACTGCTACATGCAAAATTATTGCTAAGAACGAGTAGCCTGTGCAGGGTCTAATTGATACCAGCGAAAGGGAAAATTGACGACAAAGAAAAATCAATTTCCACAATCTATGGAGAGTGTGTAAGTTACAATTATCATGGAATATAAACTCATTCTTTCAAAAACTCGCCTGATTTTCCCCTATTAACATGGAACATGAACATGAACATGATTGGCATGCTCGACTCTACAAAATTAAACAAGATACGTTCACTGTACTATTTTACAAGATGATGCTGCACAATTGATCATTTCAAGCAATTGAAATTTGAGTCTTCGAAACTAATTTATAACCAATTAGTATCCACCAATTCCAAACAGTTTTAGTACATTTTATATGTCCCAAAAATATATATTACTCTTCTTGATTCCAGTAAGATTAATGCTAAGTTGTCAATATTGTCACTGCAAATGACTCATGCTTGAAGCACCCCGTCATAAATGGCATTTGAATCTTAAGCTGAAAAAGACAAGTTCCTGTTTTGTACTTCCATTTGGTTCCAGGTTTCACCCAAACTATCACAATTAGCAAGACGGACATGAAGTCTATTCATGGAAGGGGTTAAAGAATGAAAATAATGAGACTATGAGAGAGAGCAACAAGGAAAAGAGAGCAGAAAAATAACTACATCTTCATTCCCTCAAACCTATATTCCAACACCCCACGTAAGCATATATTCCATCATCCCAACCTAGGATTACTTTTTCATCAAAGAATGAAACAAATCCAAACAAAACAAGAAACCTGACTACATTTTCAGACGGAGATATCAGATTCGTTGTCAGATGAGACTGGAGAATCAGAAGCTTCAGCTATAGATTCAAGCATGCTTACCACCTCAGATGTATCATCCAAATAATATTTGGCTTTGCTGGGTTTCTGCCCTACTGTGCAAGCAAATACTTCGGTGTTGTAAGGAAGAATATGTCTCGATACTGCAGAACCAATTATTTCAAACATATCCTCATCAGATCTGTCATCACCTATGCATAGTACAAAGTCAGCCTGTTTCCCCTTCTCTGCCATTGATGTGAAGATTTTTTCTGCAACTATTCCTTTGCTTACACCCTGGATGAGAAATAAGCAATATGATGGAATTAATATCTCATTTTGTTAATGGAGTTGCAAGGCAATCAAAATCAACATTTGTATATTATTGAAAATATGACCAACAAAACATACTAAGAACAGAACTAAAACCCAGCAAAAAAGAAAGCAGTGGAAAACTAATTTTAAGTGATAAAAGTTTGTCTAAAAAAAATGGTGATGAAAGAAATGCAATAGCGACCATATTAGGATTGAAGCAAATAATTCATGCTATGGTTGAGCATCTAGTGAAAGGGAGAATTTATACAACCTACAGCAGTAGAATAGCTGACATGTAAATAGAAATTATGATACATACCTGAGGCTTGACTTCTACAATGAACTGCCCGCTCTTCACAGCAACAGGTTCATTTGCTAACACACTCTCTAGATGGTCCAAAATCTCCTTTGCCTGACCAAAGCCGAACCCGGGATCTGCATCCTGATAATGCCAGACTAGAGCACTTTCCTTGCGTTCTATTTCAGAACCATCGGTAGCCTCAGTATATGATTTCATAACAGGTTCAGCGAGCTGCATCCATCCAAATTCAGAATTCTGGCCGTATGTTTCCCATTCTTCATGTAGTGGCCACCTGTGAAATTCTATGGTTATAATCCAGCAAACATTTACAATGCAACTCAAAGAGGAGATAGACTGGATGAAGGGACCATCTGAACCACCTATGAGAATTTTCGAATGTAATATTCACCTACCTTTCTCACTATCACCTCCCCAGGAACCAAAAATAATGTAATAACAATAATAACCCAAAAAATAAAGAGTAGAGCTCTCCCCACAATTGATTAAATCTCTCATAAATACACAAGATTTAGAAACACAAGAAAAAACAATCATCCGTCGTAGAAACAATTATCAGGAGCGTTTACATTGACCGTCTCCAATATGATAAACAGCACAGCCCCCACCTCAAAAAGCACATTATAAACCCACCATTAGGGGTGAACACAGTTCAGTTTGGGCTATATTTGAACTATTTTCAAACTAAACCATTTTTGAATTTCAATTTAGTTTCAAACCACGGTTTTAGCGATATAAAAATAATATCTTTCAAACAAATGAGGAAAAAATATATTGGCCTAAAATTTTCAATATAAAACTTAAATTGAAAACATTCAAAACATACTATTATATTTGCCTCAATACAGGTTTAAATCAATAAATTAATTCAAGCCTCAACCATAAAATTTAAGCTTATAAGTTCATTTTTTATAAAAAGATAAGAAAAATATTGACATAAACATTATTTTCCTAAAATAATAGTATTTTAGGTAAAATAAGTAATTTTTTATTCGAATTGAGTGAACGATTCAATTTGGTTTCAAGGGAGTTTTAACTATTGAAACCTATACTAAACCATATTCAAATTGTTCGGTTCTTTTCGATTTTTCAAATGTTGTAACCTAACCAAGCAATTTCAAACGAATGGTTTCAAACTGCAGTTTCGGTCAGGGTTGGTGCATTTTTTGTGCACCTCTGATCACCAGGCATATTACCGAGGATATTATCACCATATATACCGATAAAGCCTCAAAGCACTTTCATTCTCACCATATATTAAATAGGATATGACATAAATAATAAAGCATAATGCTGAAGTATCATAAGCAAGTTACAAGAACAGCACCTTAGTATTTCCAACTGAAGTCATAGTAACAACTGATTGGCCTCAATTTTTTAAGAAATATTTTAAGAAGATATATATGCTTGAAGCCCATTTTTTCCTTTAGAAAATTGAACTTCAATAAAAAATAAATTAAAATAAAAAATAAAATTAAAATGTTATCCTACAAGTAGCCTGAGGTATACCAGATGGCATTTACTGATAGAAGTTGATCATTTAATAGAATTCTTTCTATGGCTTCGTGTCATTCTTTCTATGGCTCTTACTGAACCAACTTTGCATATAAACAATTATTGTTTAAGACTGATCGGGGAAAGGGTAAACAAACAAACCTCAAAAAGTACCCATGTTCTGCGGCAAGTCCCAGCTTCTTGCAAGGTGAAAACCAGCTGCTTAAGCTTTCCCTCCCTCTGCCACTCACCATGAAAACTGTATTATTTGGATCTCCACAAAGTCTGTTCAAGATAGAGATAATTTGTGAACTTGGAGTCTTAATAATAGAAGTTGGAGGCATCAATGTGCCATCATAATCCAAAAATATAGCCCTGCTTTTAGCCCTACAGTAAGCTGCCACAATATCATCCACCGATAGCTTTCTAAAATTAGGATCTAGCGCCACTACTCGAAACCCAAAGCCTAGACCAATCCCCCAGCATCTTTTACTGAAATGGTCCGCACAAGTTC